TATGCATGCGCGTGTGTGTGAGAAAGAGAAAGAGAATGCCAGAGAAAAAATTGGAAGGCAATTTCCTCTTCCATTCTCCTTCCCCTCCTCCTCCTCCTCTTCTTCTCCTTCCTCCTCTTCTTCCCCTCCTCCTTCTCCTTCTTCTTCTTGCTGTAGTAGACTCACCTCAGAAATATCTAATAAATATGTTTTCTATTTAGACCATTATTTTTGCTGTACTTATTTTGAGTAAATGTAAGCAAAGAGATCAAGATATGATGTCAGAAGAACACACTAGAAGAATTTAAGAGCTGAAACCATGTGATGAATTTTTAAAAGCTGGCTGCTTTTTAAAGGCATTTATAATTCAAGGTATTTGATTAACGTTTGAAGAGTTGAGTGTTGATAGATTGAAAATCAGAAGGAAAGGTCTGTAGGAGTCTGGTGGACTTTTAAAGATGGATAGAAGCAAAGAAATTGTGTTCTTAGCCTTCTTAGCTTTGGTATATTTGTTACAGCCACATAAGATTAAAGGTCCCCTTTAATCTTCTACTTGTCACATGACCACCAAGGGGCTAGCGATGACTGTGTCCCACCTGCGCAGTAGATATTCTGAGAATAACTGGGGTAGGCCATCGGGTGCTTTACCTTGCCAAGGACAAGCAATATAAATACAGAGTAGACATCAGTTTATAAACAGTGTTAAGCAAAGCTGACTTTATGCAGACATTACTCCATTGAAGGCATAGCGGAATTTTAAGACAGACATAATAAGGAAGGGGAAGGGATGAGTGGTTAAGGTGTGGAAAGTATAAACCTCAATGGAACATCTACATATCCAATAATATAAAGTAGTCGTGTCATAAACCTGTTTATAATCTATAAAAGATAGGAGCAGTGTAACTTCTGGTAGATGGAACCGAACTTCTCACAAAGATATGACCACTTAGAGTGTTGTATTCAAATGTGAGCACCTCGTTTTCCGAAGAATATTTCCATTCTGAAATAAGTCACTCTGCTTTTCACTGCCAATTGTTTCATTTGCTCCTTTTTCCTTGAACCAAGTGATATTGTGGGACCAAACCCGTGGCAGGCGCTAGACACTGCAAGTGGGATTGTGGCACTTCCCATTACAGGCCTGACAGCTGAGAGGAGAGAAATACGGCAAAAACAAGTCCAACAATGTGCTGTCAAGGCTGAAATGCAAGACAGTGAAGGGAGAGAGGACGCACAAAGAGAAACGCTCCCTGGGTTACTCCAGAAAGGGTGTGCCTGGGCGTGAAGCCATCATGCTTGAGACAAGTCTAAGGAGTCAGTATGGTTGCTTTATGAACAAACTCTTTACAAGAGGGTGCAGGGAGTGAGAGAGGATACATATTTCACAGATTTGGAGAGTTACTTGATATGTGAAGCATTACTTTTTTCTTGGCTCTAGCAGGGAGAGCCAGCATCACGGGGAAAACACAGAGAGAAGGAGCCTAAGGGATAAAGGAAGGGGACTCCTGACTGAGGAGTGAGTTTGTACGGGTTTGGGTTTGTGCCGGACGCACCACAGGCGCTGGTGTGGTCCATCCTCATCACAGCTCTGCTGACCCATCGCTGGTCCGAGGCGCCACCGCTAGGCCAGCACTCAGAGCCCCACTGACCACCCTCAGCCTCTGTTTCAGGACAGACAAAATGACCAACTATACCTGGAGAGTTAAAGTGTGTTTGACAAGGCAGTCACTTTAGATGATCTTAATCATCTTAAATAACAGGATGGGCAGTAGGAGGACACGAATAATTGTGCAGATGCGACTGTGTCTGTAGGAATTGAAAGGATCAATTACATCTTTAGGAAAAAAGTAAAACGTATGTTGTTTTTTAGAATATGTCTCCTGCTATATAATCTAGGTACACATAATGATTCCTTTATATCCATATTTAAAAATAAGTTATGCACAATCTCTATTTCAAAAAATTACAAAAATATAAAATATTCTAAAAGACATCAAATACTATAAAACTCACATCTATTTAATGTTTTATCCTTCTTTAATTTTTTTAGCTCTTTACTCAAATCCATTTGACACTTAATATGTTTCTTCCAGCCAGGCTTGTTATGCGGATGTTCAGCCAGCTGTTGCCATCTCCTGCGCCGCAAGAGATACTGGCTTACTAGTTCACTCGTACCAACATGGATTACAAATGCAAATATAAAGAAGAAAACCTAATGGTTATATTTCTTCTTGCACATTGTTATGAGACACTGGGTTAGAAACCTAAGTAATTTGGGGAAAATAAGTATTTCGATGTATGAGAGAGGTACTTTTATTTTATGATATCAGGTACAAAAGAAAGAAGCAATGTTGCCTAGGTTACTATGAGCAGTCAAAGTATAAATTTTTCCATAAATTCTGGAAGCACTGGTTCCACTCGTTACCTTACAAACGTCTGTTGGAGGTTTGCGATTAGCTCTGTGTTACCACCCTGTCGACCTCTGTCTTAGAGGCCCGGGAAATGTTGTCCCAAAATTCTTACGGCTATTTTCCCTGCCGTATGAAATGACTGTTCACGCAGGTGGCAGTAACCTCAGGAGGGGGAAGTGTTTACAATCAGGGTTAACTAATGTCAACAAAAGTAGCACTGGACTGTTGATCTATCTCATACCCTAATAAGTATTCATACAGTGTGTTAGGCTGAATTCACTCTCCCGGACACACGCCTTATGATGTTGAAACTAGAAACAGGTTTCTCAGGAGGCTGCGATGAGGAAACGGTCAGTTTCCTCGTGGGGAAGTGAAATAACTTACCCTGTAAAGGCAATAACTTATCTCGTAAAGAAAAACAGGAGAATCCTACAGAATTAAAATTAACACGCAGATCCTCATTACTTTCCCATGTGATTGTAAATCACCAACTTGTATCCAGGTAAATTAACCTATTTCCAAGTAACATTGTGTAATGCATCTTAAAGTAGTGATTACGGCACCGGGAGATTCCTAGTTGAGTTCTCAGAGAGTAAACAAACAAGGACGAAGCAGAAGCATTGAAACAACCAACAGGATGTAGGAAGTATACCAGAAGACTTTAAAACACTTGAATCTGTAGGCTGCGTTCGGCTTGTTCTTTGCGAGTTCAATTTCATTTTATTTTGTATTTTATTTTACTCTTTTTTGTGAAGCAATGTGAGCACCCACAAAGGTTACCTTCTTACCTGATGACTAAGGGCACAGCTACATTAGAGAAAATAGTACCCGACCTTCTAGAATCTTCCCCCTTACAGGCATTGCACAGAACCCTCAAGGACGTGTTTAGAGCAGGCACAGACAGCGTTGGGCAGTTTGATGACAAAGGGAAGACACTCAGCAGGGCACCTGATATTTTGGCACCTAAAACCGAAGAGCGGAACTTAGCATGGGCTGTGGGCTTGTCCCCTATTGTGGATGCACTCACGGGCGTTTTAAAATAACTGTCTCTGAGCTCAAAACGCAAAGTGGGATGGACACAATAATGTTACTGTAGGGCAGCCATCTTTAAAACGTCTCCGACCGGTGAGGTCACAAGGACAATGTGTAGGAAGCAATTACAAAATCCAGTGTAAGACAAGAAAAGTAGTGGCAAACTAACATGCGTATAGTTTCCGAGAAGCCTAAAGGCGAGTATAAGATACAGATGACTGAGCTGGTGTTGCTCTCTCTGTCCTTTACACAAACACACGCGCCCACCACGCACGGAGTGAATCCACAGAAGCTCACGCTCTCTGTACCACCTCACACGGGACTCTTCACTCAGTTAGGGCACCTCCAAAGGAGTGTCCAGAGAAAATTCACGGGGAAGCACCTGCTCCCGTCACATGGCCTCCAGAAATTAAGTTCCCAAAATATAATCTCATCCATTTATGATCAGAAGGTCTACTTTTTAAAATTTCCAAATACGTGGCATTTCTTAATTCTGTTCTTTATGGTGGAAACAAAGACTGTGGAGCCTTTTAAAGAAGAAGGGACTGTGTGAAGTGATTTTTGCACGGGCTAGTGGCTCTTTCCATTCTCATGAACACGTCTTCTATCTTTGCTTGTTCCTTCTCACCGAGGCATTACTGGGGAGATGCTGAGAGAGAGAATGGCAGAAGAGTTTTGTGTTGGTCGTGAACTCAGCCCTTTCTAACTTCCGAGAGGACTTGCTTACTGTAAGCCCATATGTAGCCCTTAATGCTTACACAGGTGATCGAAGCTCATTTTGTACAATACGTTGCTATTCGGTTCAATGATTTAATTCAAACTGGTTGTTTGGAAGCTAAATTTTTAAATAATTTTTAATTTTTTGGAAAAATGACAGTCCACAAGAATTTAATTGATAGGTTTTAGAAAATGAACTTATCACCTTTATCATTTAGTTAGCTGGCAAATACGAAAATCCAAATTTGCGGAGGTGCGCTTACCATGTATCGGGAACCTGAGCGTTCACAGAAGGATTCTCCTTAGACGTTGTTTACAAAGACCGCCCCTCTGTGCACTTGGGACAGAAACGGCAGGCCGGTCTCCCTGGGAGCCTGGGAACGACCTCGGGCAGCCCGGTGCCGCCCCCACGCGGCGCTGCTGCCTCCCAGGGCGCGTCCTCAGCCAGCGTGCGGGCTCGCTGTGGTTTCTGTCCACACGATGCTCTTCGCTTTCTTCCTGCCGGAATTCATAAAAACTTCCCTCTCAGCACAGTTGCTTCCTGTTTTCAGCTCTGTTGTGGATTCATTATTCCCTTTCTGCAGCGATTTTGTTATTTCAAGGAAAAATGGCCTGGACACCCAAGGATAGATAAATATGTTTCAGCCTTTCCTGGGAACCAAATGCTTCCATTGTTTAAAAAAGAAGATTATTTTTAGATGGAGGATTGGCAATTGGATGCGTTTCAGTGTCAAAAGGAAGTCGCTGATAAAATCGTGACTGCGGTTAGCCATTGGTTTCTCACCCTGTGAGACTTTTTAATTTGTGCAGGCTTTAATGGCGATTGCAAAAAAAGGACCAAACGCATCTTTCTTGCTTTTCCAGAGATCTGCCTGCTGACCAAGGGACGCCGCACCGCCAGTGTCCGAGCCGACACCTACTGTCGTCTGTATTCCCTTTCGGTGGACAATTTCAACGAGGTCCTGGAGGAGTATCCGATGATGAGACGGGCCTTCGAGACGGTCGCCATTGACCGACTAGATCGGATAGGTACTCTCTCGCGGGCTTTGCCTTCTGCGTGCACAATTTGCATTTAACCTCGTGGACTGATACGTATTTGCAGTCATTAGTCCCAGATGCTAGTTCATAGACCACTTGTTAATTAGCACAGAAGTAGCAATTAGCTGTAGCCCTATTTCTGGAAAGATCTGAGGCTCTGTCTTTCTCTTCTAAGTGTTCTAGGTGTATTTACTCCTGTCTATTTTCACTAGCTACGCAATCTGATTTCCCTTGTGATGCCAAAACAATTGAATCTTCAGGTAAAAAACAATGATAAAAATTCTATATTGCATAAAAATAGAACTAAAATACTAACGTATGAGTCTACATTACAAACCATAGTTATCACAAGGATATTTTTTATTTTTAAGAATCAACTTTACATTTTATCCTTATATTAAGAATTGAAAATGTGTGTGAAATAACTGTCTCAGTAGAAACCTCTTGAAGTGTTTGTAATGCAGACTCAAGGAAAAAAGCCTGGCTAGAAATGTCTTACATAGATGCTGTACTTTGCAGACACCCATTTATTTTCATCTTCCCTGCTCTAAAATAAAAATGTATAAATTAGGCCTTGTTTGTTACACTAGTTTACAGATTTGAATAATTGTCCTAGTCAAATTAGATCAGATTAGCTTGCAGTTAGCTTTCCGAGCTACGCTGGAGCCTTGCGATGTGAGAAGGTGGTATGCACTCATGCTCCACATCCAGACCCTGCTCCCTCCCCTCCCCTGCTCTGCCCCTTCCCTCTGCTTAACCTGACTAACCTCCATATCCCAGTGCAGGCCTCCCACTCCCTAACAAGCTGAGTACCCTCCGTATGTTCCCCCACACCCCTGGGGACTTCCTGCATTACAGCCTGCTTTCAGTGTTCTAACTGCACTAGAGACGCTAAGCTTTGTAAATGTAGAGATCGTGTCTAATTCGTTATTACATTCACAGTCCCTGGTACACAGTGAATAGAATTGAAGAGAGGTAGGGAGGGATGGAGGAGTCAATGAACTCAGAGGAGAAGGGGTTGGGATCTCTTGAAAGTAAACAAAGAGGTATTTCAGCTGCTTCACTCTTATGAAAGGTAAGGACCCCTGATTGATGTTCGGATGTGTGAGCTTTTCCTCTGCACTTTGCATCTCCCCTCCCATCTGCATTAGTGGGATAACAGCCTGAACAAGAATGGGAAATTAGCTTGGGAGAAATAAAGGTGGTACCTGGATACTACCATTTGGCTTAACACATACATTAGGAATTCACACTGACAACTGAGACACTGAACATGACACAGTGCCCCAGGAGGGTACTTATGAGCAGTGGCTCATGAGATGAGTGAGTACGCCTCCAAGCGTCTTTATTCATTTGAAAATAACCTCCTTCATTGTGGTCTGTGAGTGTTCATGGAGAGCTAACGACCAACTTCTGAGACTATGACTTCTTTCCCTAAAGCAGCTCCACATCTTTAGAAAAAGCATTAAAATCCAGGTATTTCTATAAAAAGTACCTGTTTATCGGACACAGTTTCATTATCTAATTTATTACAGTCAATTTTTATAAGCCTGCATGAAATGGTTTGTGATCGATAGTACAGGCAATGGGATTGCTAGTAAGCATCAAACATTTTCATTTTTAATTCCTATAAAATTCTGACAGTGGATTAAAATTTATAATACATTTGAACAAAGTCACAGATACTTTTGTTATGAAATGTTGACAGTTCATTGGTTGTAAAGAAATATTATTTTCAACTGTGTGGTCATTTCTTATAAATGTATACTATAGTTAAGAGAATATGTTATATGTATCACTAACTGAGAAGTGTTTCTTCTTTGGGAAAGTATTAGGACAATTCTGCAAGGAGAGATAGGTAACTACCTATTCTGGCATTAATTTAAAATGATTGCAACTTGAAACTAACAGGATTTGAATGTCAATTCAAACCTACACTTTGATGCAAAGTGCATCAATCTACAACCAAATCCAAAATAAAGTGGGATAAAAATTACTGCTTTTCCCAGCATCAAGTAAATTTTAGCATATATTTTCATTCAAAAAATACTTGTCACTTTAGATGCCGGGCTTTACTTAGTGAGCTGGTGAACTGATTCGCTTTTTAGTTTCCATGTTCACCTGGGTACTATTTTATGACCGATATCATCAAAAGTCACTGACCTTCATCAAGCTACTACTTACTCATAGTTATTCTGCCCGAGAATGTCTGCTGATTGCAAACCAGCGCAGGGACAATGGCAGGAAGGAGAGGTGCGGGTAACTGAGGTTCTGGGGTGAGCCGACAGCCGCCACACTAGTCCTCACAGCCTTTCAGAAGAGAGGATTACACGCAGCTGCATGTGACAGCCCCTGGGGCAACTGGCTGTGACAGTGTCACAGCCTGCACCCCACGTCTGGTTATTCTGCTTGAAGTGGTCGAGTACAGATGGAAATCAGTATGTTTTAAAACTCCAGAGACGAGAAAAACATGCAGGTAGGGTAGAAAAATCACCCATCAAAACCCGAGTCCTTTGTTTCACCGACGTGCATGCGAGCGCCCCCTGGGGACCTCAGTGGCACGCATGTGGTTCAGCCGCCACGGAGGCCAGGAGGCTGTGCTGCTTGCAGGCATCCCCAGGATGCACACGCGCTGGTCCGTTGTCTGTGGTGCATCTACGGTCCCGTTCCCCGTGCTGGGACTTGTGAACCGTGTTTTCTCGGGCGTGGGTCTTACCCTTCTCTGTCTGTCTCCGTTCCCGTACGACGGGATGTGAACACACCTGCTTCCAAGAGCTGAGGCGAATGCAATAAGTCTCCCTACAGCCTCTCGTAGGGTGCCTGTGGCTTCCTAAGAGTTCCATCCCTTTCTTGGAAAAGAAGCTTTCAACCTCAGTCCTCACTCCAGGCCCATCCTGGTGCAAATGCCCCGTCTATCCCCCCTCCCCCTTCAAGGTAGCCCTCGTGCCAAGTGTCTCCATTCCTTTCGCGGCATGGCTTTTCCCCTTAACAGACTTTTCTGCTGGACTCTCACGGAAAGTTAGATTTCCCAGAATGCCACAGGGAGCAGGAAGGGCGGGTGCCCCGGTTCCTCGGGGGTCTGCAGGTGGGTGCCTGGCTCCGGGACCTCCCCCACGGAGCACTGGCAGACTTGCTTTGAGGAGCCTCTGTCCCCCGGAGTTGCCACCCGTCCCTGGCGCCCGTTCTAAGTGCCCGTTTTTCTCTCGCTGACAGGAAAGAAAAATTCGATTCTTCTGCAAAAGTTCCAGAAGGATCTTAACACTGGTGTTTTCAACAACCAGGAGAACGAGATCCTGAAGCAGATCGTGAAGCACGACAGGGAGATGGTGCAGGCCATCCCTCCCATCAGCTACCCGCAGATGACAGCCCTGAACTCCTCCTCGGCGGCGGCCACGCCCACCTCGCGCGCCCGGACCCAGTCGCCACCCGTGTACACAGCCACCAGCCTGCCCCATAGCAGCCTGCACTCCCCCAGCCCCAGCACGCAGACCCCGCCTCCGGCCGCGGTCCTCTCGCCCTGCTCCTACACCACCGCGGTCTGCAGCCCGCCCGTGCAGAGCCCGCTGGCCGCCCGGACTTTCCACTACGCCTCCCCGACCGCGTCCCAGGTGTCCCTCGTGCATCAGCAGCAGCAGCAGCAGCAGCCCCAGCCCCAGCCCCCGCAGCCCCGTCCGCAGTCCCCGCAGCCACAGACGCCCAGCAGCTCCACGCCGAAGGCCGACGCGCACAAGAGCACGCAGGCTCTGCACAACACCAGCCTGAGCCGGGAGGTCAGGCCCCTCTCCGCCTCGCAGCCCTCGCTGCCCCACGAGCTGTCCAGCCTCATCTCCAGACCTCATCCCACGGTGGGCGAGTCCCTGGCCTCCATCCCCCAGCCCGTGACCGCTGTCCACGGCGCGGGCCTGCAGGCGGCCGGCAGGGGCACTGTGCCCCAGAGGGTCACCCTGTTCCGACAGATGTCCTCGGGAGCCATTCCTCCCAACCGGGGAGTCCCTCCTGCCCCCCCTCCACCAGCGGCTCCTCTGCAGAGAGAGTCTTCAGTCTTACACACAGACGCAGACGCCGAAAAGCCACGATTTGCTTCGAATTTATGATCCCTGCTGATCCTCGAAGCAGACTCGAATAAACTGAGAGTGGTCTCAGATCTTATTTTATTCTATCTCCTGATACATCCCTATAGCCCACTATGAAGAGATATTTTAGACAGCTCTGGCCTACATGCAAAATGTAAAAAATATATATATGTATACATATACTATTAAATATATATATCTAAAATCCCAAGAGAAGTTCGAAAGACTTGTTTAGCATTCAGTGTTACATGTCTTCCTTACTTTAAATCATTAAAAGGTTTAAAATGTTGTTGTAAGGTTATTTATTTTTAGTCTACCTTTACTTAATTCCTTTGATATATGTATTTCTCGTTTTTATGAGGAGTTCTTGGATTCAATGCAAACAAAACTCTGATTTTAAAAAGGCAACTCGAGTGAGCACCAATCCAAACTTCCTTCTTCCACTAGCTGTGTCTCTGCATCCAAATTGTTAATCGTTAATTATGGAAGATCAAATAGCATCCCCTTTTATAGATCTAAATTATATTTTGGTGCTTTCAATTTTGAATTAGGCTAAAGAACAATTATATATGCTCGGCCACAGTAGGAGACTAGCGTTACCACTGTTATGAATATCTCTGACCTCAAACATGTTCATCGATCTTTCGGAAAGCGAGGGAATATGTCTCTTCACGTGTTATTGGACTATTACCAAGACTCAATCAATGTTAGTTGTAAATAACTTTTTCCACCCAGATAAAAATAGCTACTCTGTGCTGTATGAAGGTCAAAGTCATTGTCTAAGAATTTAGTTTTATTGCTTCACTTCAAAACTTAGAGTTTTAAATTTTACAAAACCTAACTGTGACAACTATTCAAATGTAATGCAATGGCTTGAAACCTACAATGTTATTTTAACCTGCAATGTTTTATGCAAAATTGTATGCTCGATTCTACAAATTGCTTGTACTACACCAAAAACCATTACTTTTCTTCCTTCTTTCCATAATCAAGCATCTGAAAATAGTCCCTGCATGCTTTTTTGGAAAAAAAAAAAAATAGGTTCAAAGCAGTCATTGTAGGGAAAGGCTTACAGCATTTCTCGTTTCTAGAAAAGAATAACAATTTCATTAATTGCCTATCTTAAAATCCCTATAAGGCTGACTTGGGTCTCTGACTTAAGTCTAGAAGTGAGGTTTTCACTTTCATTTAATATTATTACTATTATTGTTATTATTATTATTTAAATAATGATTTGTAAACCACAGCTTGGTTTGGAGTTGCCGGTGTGTTCTGTCTTCACTGTAGTTGGAAGTTTACCACGGTGTTAATTTAAAGAAATAAACACTTGCAGCCTCTTGTCTGTTTGGGAGCACACACTCTGCTCTGTGTATAGTGTAACTCAGTGGTTAGAACATCTTAAGGCCTGTGGTGACGGCGTAGCCCTTAGACAGGAGGTTTGTCACTTTAAATGTGCTGAGAAAAGTGTAGACATGGTGATGGAAAACAGGGTCAAACTGATTGTGAGCACTGTTTGTTTGTTTGTTTGTCTGTTTCCTTAACTCTTTCCATGATCTGGGAGCATCTTCTTCTGAAAGGAGCCCCTTAGTAGTGATTTGTGCCTGATGCATCCCACGAATGTGGGGGGTGACTGGAATACCACGGGAAGATTCCTAACAACCGACTTCTGTAAATAACCCAAGTCAAGAGAAGGACCTGAAGCGGAGGTCTTCAGTCTTTCTGTCGATACACATACGAGGAACCTAAACAAGATCGCACGTTCCGTGGGGAGGGCCTCCCAGATAGACTTGAGGACAGAACCCCAGAGCAAAAGCAAAAACTCTAAAATGGATCCATGCTGCCTGTTATGCCTTTTATGGGAAAAAAAAATTATCTATGATACCAAAATGAGTCGTTATGATTGATTTCTACCAGATCCCAGCCTGAGTGGGTCAGCGGAGCTAGTCCATGTAACGTCACGGTGACCGGGCAGGGACACAGGAGGGCGTGTCGGGAGCGGGGTAGGAAGGAGCTTGGTCGGTCCACCTGGAACCTGTGGGAAAACTGCAAGACCATGGACATATCAGTACAGAATCCTTTATTTTATTAAGAGATTGAGATTTAACTTCAATTTATTAAGATCGTGTATTGATCCTTTAAATGATTAAAGGTTTACATTTGATAGGACTAATGGGTTTGGTAGTGAAATATTTTTATATCATACAAATTTTTGGTTTTTTATTTCAAGGACTATTGGGAAACATAAGCGGAATTGAATCGCATGGTCTTTCAGTACAACCATAAAATTTGTATTTCCTTTGTAATAGAATGGTCAAAAAGCTAAGGTTTATATGTTAAAGTCACGAAGTGGTACAGGGTAAATGATATCCATATATATGTATAAATATATACTTAGGTTAAGAAAAATTGACTCACATTCCTGTAATATGAAAGTCAATTGCTAGTTGAAAAGTGACCTTTTTTCTCTGTACATAGCTAAACCCATGGGTATGGAGTTTTAATCTGTACAGAAAGAAATGTATTATTGAAGAGATTGGTCCTTCTGCTGCTGGGAAAATAGTAGACTAGCTGATTCTTACAACAATTGTATGATCAGGGATGAGTTAGAGAACTTCTTTTGTCTTTGCTCAAAGCCATACATATATAAATATATAAAGATTATTAATAAATTCAACAAAAATAAACTAAAATCATGAATATTTTATTTTATCAATATAATCAGTACAGATTTGACTCTGTCTTTCTATCTTAACATCATGAGGTTTCCAGGATGGCTCATACTTGATAGTCATAAAATTAATTGTAGATATTCCGTATGTAACTGTGGAAAGACAGGAATTTAAATAGAACATGGGTGTCCCAAGTAGTCCTGTGTTTTCTTCTTTATAGTCCAAGTTGAGGTTTTCTAAATTCTCTTCCCTGTAATTCCTTAGCCTGTGGTTGTCCAATTTCAGACATTTCTGTGGTATTATTGACTACGAGGCTGAGAAACAATTGCATGACACTTGCATGAACCGCAATCTGCTTCGCCATCCAGTTCAGAACGGCCTAGAGGACCTGCAGCAAGCTGAACTGAATGTTCTCAGCCATGGTCTATCTCTGCTTCGTGACAGCAAATCTCGTTTGGGAGTTCACCAAAACTCATAGGAAGCCCTGTGTTCTTAATACATAATCTAGTTTGTCATCACTGTTTGCAATGAAACACAATGTGGATCTTTTTACATGTGGCACATGATTGTCTCTGAAGGCCTTCCAGACAGATTCAAGAGCCTTGTACAAGAGACATGTACAGCTTCTCAACTCAAACTCTTAACATTCTAGAGTTCTGTGGTATTTACCTAGAAAGATCTAATAACTGTAAAGCTTTACATAACCTGCTTATTTTTAACACTTACGATTTGGGCTTCTTTTGCATAGTTCTTTTCAAATGAATGATTATTTACTTGACATAACCTCCTGTCTTTGTGTGAAGAAATGGTATTTTTGGCCAGTCTAAAGTAATTCCTGCCCTTACCTCGGCAAAACATACTTCTCAAGGCACATGCTTCTCTGATGGAAAAAAAGGCAAGGTTTCTTGTGAGAAAAGCTGTGACATTTCTAACAGTGTTATAGCCTCCCCAAATTATGAAGTATTAGACAGACTTGTGTTGCATAAAGAATCCATGAGCTCGGAAATGTTGAAAAGTGGCTTTATTCATTTATTTTGTATCTGAGAGCCAGAAAAATTAGGGAGCTTAGCCACCAGACATAACAAAGTCAATTCACGTCTCAGTTTTTAAACGCTTCCAATCTCATCTTTATACATAAACACAGTTCAGCGCTTCCACCTCCCCACTTCACCAGGAGCTGGTTGGGCACCCACAGGGGCTATGGGCCCTGGAACTCATAAGAAAGGTAACTTCGCTGACAACATCTGTTGGAAAACAGTTCGAGAACAGTGCATGTAAGAAGGGAAAGTGACACTGGAGGAGAGCAAATGTGTCTCCAAAAGGGCTTTCCATGTTCATTTTGACAGTGAGAAGTGTCACAGTGCTAGTTTCGAAGAACAAAGGGGAATCTGACCTGGAAGAGTTGATGAAGATTCACCTTTAGAAAATGGGACCTGGCATTTGGCTTATTGTAGAGGGGCTGATTTTTTTGTCATCACTTAGCATCCCATGCTCCTTACTTTCCTCCGGCCCATTCATAGATCCCTCAGTCTCTTTAAAGATGTTTCTCATGGACCTTTTTAACAATGTACTTAATAATCTCCTTGTTTGCTATGAAAAATCCCGTCAAATGGTCTTGTAATTTTGCTTATAGTGGAGCTAAGAATGTGCGCCTGAAGCAAAGATATGCATTCCACATGAAGCCACAAAATTTTCATAAGTAGCAAATTAAAAAATGAGGTGGAATTCACTTTATAATGTCAATGGAAAGGTAAAGGAAGAAGCTATAGGTTATAAACATTCAGTTTCAACATGCTAGAATTATAGGGTATGTTGGGAAAGAGGAAAGTTTCTGGAAAACATCCAGACAGTTTTATACCAACATTTTTAGAGCTCCTCTTCCTTTTCTGACCTACAAGACATTAACAATAGCACCAGTATATACCCTGGGCACTTCATTTCAAAAACATGTGACTCTTTTGGAAAGGGGAAGGTATAGATTGAACTAAGATTGTGAAAAGGCTGGAAAATATGGCCTATTCAGAAATAAGAGACAACCAGAAGCAGCTGGTCAAAGTAGAGAGAAGCAAACCCACCCACAGACGAAGAAGGCTCCGCAGGAGGGGAATCTGAGGGTGCTCAGGGTGGGTGCAGAGCCAGGGAGCTTTTGCAGCTCCCAGAGCTCCCTCTACATGGGACTGTCATAGTCCTTGTTTTCCAGAACCTGAACATCAAAACTCAACTACCACCATGTACACTCATGCCATCCAAGATACGTATCCTCTCATGTACTTGCAGTAGTAGAATTCTTTATGTAAAGAGTTTTCGCTAGCAGGTACCAATCCCTCCAGATTGTGAGTGTGTATGGGAAAAAGAAGAATTTTAAAAAAATTTCTGATAGCATTGTGTACTAGTATTTATACAGTTAATTTTATTATTTTACTATAAATACCTTTTTGTTAAGTCTCATTCATATAATACATAAGACATTATAGGTATTAATTTAAAAAGATGTTATTTCATCAATGACTCATTTCAGGAGAGTAATGGGGCTAGTATAAAATATGATGTATCAGAAAGGGCATTGAACCCTAGCTGGTGTGGCTTAGTGGATTGAGTGCCAGGCTATGAACCTAAGAGTCGCTGGTTTGATTCCCAGTTAGGGCACATGCCTGGGTTGTGGGCCAGGTCCTCAGTAGGGAGCATGCAAGAGGCAACCACACATTGATATTTCTCTCTGTCTCTTTTTCCCTCCCTTCCTCTCTTTCTAGAAATAAATAAATAAAGTCTTTTGAAAAAAGAGGGCATTGAAAGGGCCAAGATCCATTGTCCTCAGTGCTGATGTGAATGGGAACTTGTGCAGCACTCTCTGTCAGGGTCTCACTGCTGCACAGACACTCCAGTGCTTACACTATAGCACTTCTCATAATAGAAGGGTTTGGCATTAGGAATAAGAAAAATGTATGAGAAAAGGCAGCAGAAAGAAAAATTACCATATTAACTCAAAAATGTTTCACTGGACTCCATTTCCTACAGGTTTCCCATCATCTGCTTCATAAAATTTGAAATGCAGATATAGCAATTAAACATGACCCAAGAGCCCTGACCGATGTGGCTCCATTGGTTGGGCATTGTCCTATAAAGTGAAAAGCCACCAGTTCAGTCCCTGGTCAGAGGACAAATGAAAGGCCACCAATGGATGTTTCTCCCTCACATCGATGTTTCTCTCCCTTTCTTTCCCCCTACCATCCCCCTCTCTAAAAAATAAATTCTAAAAAATGACCTAAGAGTAGAAGGAAGATGAGCCTCATTTTGCAATAATTAACCAATTAGCCTTGCAGATTGCCCAGTAGCAGCTGGTTCTTTGAGGAGCCAGAAGACTCACCCGGATGCTGATGTCTAGAGGGTGCCCACTGGTCCTTTTATCCATGATATTTCCCACAGGGGGCTTGGAATTTGTGCTATTTATTCCCTCCGTGGTGTTTGATTTGTGTCTGTTAGTTTTGTTACACAGGCCACCTTGGAGGTTCAAGCTCACGAAGGCATCATTAGTGCTACATATAATTTAGATGACCCATTAATTCATTAAACTCACTCCTCGAGCACCTGTGGTGTGGAAATGTTCTAGATGATGTAGACCTGGCTGCGAGCAAGAGGGAACACGTGACTTCATGAAGCTTATATCCTTCTAGAAAGAAATGCATAATAAATAAACAAGTAAATGAGACCACGCAGAGTGTGAAAAAAATATCTTTGGAGGGAACCAATGGAGAGAAGAGAGAAAGGAGGGTCAAGAGTAAGAATTAGGGAGCATTTACGCATTTAAGTAGCATGAGCAAAGAGGTGTTCAATAAGTTGACCCTTAAACAACGACCAAGAAGTCTCATGATCCCCGTCACGTGGTGTGCCCCTGTGCCTCGCTGCTGAGAGTAGGTGAGTGCACCTGCAGCATCAGTGTCGCCGGCGGGGGAGGCAGGCGTGCAGAATCCTGGGCCCTACCCTGCACGTTCTGGCAACAGCCCCGTGTTGAACAAGATCCCTGAGTAATTCACGGGGAAATTAATTTTTGAGAAGTATGTACAGTGCTAGTAAAGCCCTCGGAAATGTCCATGAATTTTAAGGGCATGTTTAGGTAACTCTCAGGTGCCAGGACCCTTCTGGGGATGACAAGTTGATATTGGGCTTCATGGCATGAATGCCAGAGAAGCAAAGCTGGATGCTTGTGCAAGGCCAGTAAGACAGATTTTATTCAGGTGACTCCAGGAAGGGGAGAGAGACTCCATGGGAAGTGAGGTCAACTCCACAGGAGAAAACATGTGGAAGGCATTTTAAAAGCTGGGGTGTGCTAGAGAAAGGTACTAAGGGGGTTGCTCAGAGCGATGAGGGCATATTGATTGGCACTTAGCTGATGGAGAAACCCAGCTTTTATCACGTTAGGACAGGAGGGAGCTGGTCTCCTACCCTTTGCCAGGACCTGGGAGGCAGGAGAGCCACCTCTGGATGTGTGCATTTCAAAGAGGAGGGGATAATTCTGGATAGCACAAGCTCTACATCTCAGTGGAGACAGGAAGGATTTACAACTGCATTTTTTAAAGGAAAGTGACCACCCCAAAGAAAGTGAGATTGGAGAGGCAGAGGGGGCTGGACTTGTCCTACTTCAGCTGGAACAAATAGTAAATTCTTTTCACAATGTTGCGGTTTCTCAGGAAAGGTTTTGGTAGGGTGTGGTGTCATTCCAAGGAGACGGGCTTGGGCAGGAGAAGCCACGCTAGAGTTTGCTCAAGTCTCTTAGTGAGAGGTCAAGGGGCTGCTTCACAGTCACGCGTGCTGAGAATTTAGAAGTTCTTGGGAAGAACTTGAAACTGGTGGCAAGCCACCAATTAATAACTTTCCCTGGAACCATCCCTAGCCTTCTTCAGTCACTCTGCCTTTCCTAGGCCACCTCCTGGCACTTGTTCCTTTGGAACAGAGGAGGAAATTAAT